TGGTCGAGTTTTCTTTTTCGGATCATCTGTGAATCCCCGATTCGTGGATCTTCGGCCCGTTCAGGGCTGAACATTATTTCTGACCCACATCATTTGAAAATGGTTGATTTTGGAATGTCTTGGATTGATTTCCATTGAAGTTCGTTGAACTTCGGGTTCTTTTAGCGAATACATAATTGGTCTTCAAAACAGCCCAAGCTAATTTCAAATTCTCCCATAAAGTTATCCACAGTGAACAAGGATTTCGCAGAAGGCAAACGTAACTCAATGGAGAGCCAATCAATAATTTAAAATCCTAAAATTACAGAATTTCTCAATACAAGAACGGTAAACACCCTGCTTCCGCAATAAGACAGAAAAAAAGGTTACAAGGAAGCTAGTAGTTGAAGTAGTTACTCGAGATTTCGATCAAAAGAATTCTGGCTCTCACCCATTTTGTCAGTATGAGCATGAGGGAGAATCGTGATCGTCCCAACGAATCGAAAATGCTGAACCCTTTCCGAATTCCAGAATACTAACGCTGAGTCATTCCATAGCGCCACTTACTGGGCCCTTAAAGGGATGAGCCTAGTTTTCAAAAAGCGATATCGCTGCTATCTAATATTAATGGGTTCCTTTTTGTACAACGTTGGAAGGTATGAGGTGCACATTTTCATAGTTTACGAGCAGATAATTTCAAATGTTCTTGAACTGAAATACAGAGTAAATATCGCCAAAAGGAAATTGGTCAAGATTCTCAGCTATTCGAGCAGAAATTGGTCATGGCCTGAATGTATAAGTAATGGACCTGGCAAAAATAGGGTAGACCTGCGTACAGTCCATAAAATCAGACCGAGCGTGGTCTGTGGCCTTCGATGTATCAGCAACAAATCATTGGCCGGTCATAACTCAGTGTGCGCCTCAGCCTAGCGCTGAAATATATATATGGAACGGGGAGAGAATGCGATGCTACAACATGATATTGTGAGGGAGAGACAGTGCAGTGGCAAGAAATCACGCGGATCTATGAGGCAGCCAGTGACATCCTCTCGGCCCCACCATGTGCGCTACATGCACCACGAGTGAGCGAATAAATCAGTTGCGCTGCCACCGTTTGGCACCCCAAACCCCAAACTCCACCATTCGAAATGCTCCACCTGAAAGGCTCCATTCGGTACTTACTGACAAAAAAGATACAACTTCACAGCTTTGCTAGAAAGGGTTGCACTCTGGAAGCCAATGCATCANTGACATCTCCAGACACTTAAATTCAATTTCGCAATAGTTCCCCACGGACAGCCCATGTTGCACAGTGAGATTTGACGATTTATTGCGTGGCATCTTGAAAGAATTCTGCGAGAATAAAACATGGCAAAAATAGGTTGTCGAAGGTTCACTTTCGGACTCGTGCACATCACCCGTAACCATGTTGAGATCTCTGAAAAAGAAACTTGAGGACAAGCTCGTTACAACAAGGCATTTGATGATGAACTAATAAAAATAGCTACCTAAGAGTATTTTGAAAAGCTCACCATGATTTGGGGAACAAGTGATGTCCAAAAATTTTTCTAACTACTGAACAACTCAGAGCTACACAGTTTTATCGATGACATCAACATTTGTCAACATGGAATATGGAGGATAAAAGCTGATCTGAGATTAATGTCCGACGACGGAAGAGAAGCCACCGAAGGAACGTAGGAATGAACGCAGTCTCTCTTCTTCCTTACTCGAACAACGAACGCATTGGAAATACAACAGAACCTGTGCAAAAAAACATTGCATTAACATACAGCCAAGAAAAAACAATTGCCCAATCAATTAACAAAATAACGGCGACATTGACACATCATTAGTCGCGAAAATTAAATATGATAACGACAACAACGGAAGAGACAACAGTTTTGACGCTTTGGCGATACACTAATTTGTAAAAAAAATATCAATCCATCTCAGGGCTAGTGTTCCAAAATTGGTTCAACTCTCAGTAATAAATTCCATGTTCCCGAACAAATGATAAGATTTCCAATTTAAACAGTCAGTCCCTAACTCCTATTGTACTGAGCAGATACAATATGTATACCCAGCTAACCGTGTTAGTAGTAGTCGCGAAATAAGTAACCTACTAACAGCACTTGCGACAATAAAGCAATCATAACTTAAAACTAATTTTATGACCATAATCGAACCGTATTTGACTCTGAGCAGCTTTCCAACGCTTACCATTTGCTTACAACATGAGAAGATGGACAACCGATGTAAAGTAAATTATGACTGTTGATTTTCCAAAAGTAATGTGTATGAAAATGAATTTGAAGTTCATAAAATGATAAACAGGTGAAAAAGTACGATTGAACCGGAACAGATTTACCTGCCACGAAATATACTTCCAATGGGAAACAAAAATGATAGTAGGAATCTAATTACTTTCATGTATTGAACAATAATGTTTGTTGGAAGGATCAAACGATGTGGTCGGATTGAACTTAATTTACCTATCGCGATGCCTTTCAAAAGAACTAGGCTTATATCATACCAAAAGTACCCCAAGAAAATCAGAACGATCAACGCAGCCCAATTCATTTCACGTTACATTTTTTAATGGTCTGGAAAAAGTAAAATAACACCATAATGTGAGGCGACATGGTCACTGAAAACCAGGCACCCATTACACAAAAGCGACGTGCACATGAATTCCCCACCCAGTTTTAATTGAGGATACACTTTACTGGGGAAAAATGCGGCCTCGCACACAAGAGCCACATTCCTCAAAGTTGGATACCTAGCTTTAGTAGCAAGAGTAACTTGAATTTGTAAACACTCGTTAGCGACATTTGAAACAAAAGCAAACTGAGGTTTCCCATCACACGTTGATCCTGCCCGGTACTACACAAAAGACATTGAATAAGCACGACACTGTATGGAAAAGAGAAGTTGACAAGTTGCTCAGGGGTTTAAAAAAGTTACTTCTACTAATGAGGGAACATGCTTTGAAATTTCCGAAAATTTAACAACCAACGAATGGCACCTAGAAGAAACTTCAAAATGTGAACGGATCAGTTTAAACGATAAAATGATAAAGATTAAAACGCGGAATGCATCATCATTCATGGGGTAAGATTGGATTGGAAAGGAAAAAATAGAGAGATCTGAGAGGTTTCTAAAATTCTAAACAGCAGAACCAGCACAACAAATGAGGTATTGTTCAACTTTTCAACTTCACAAAAACCGGAAATGTAGAGAAGGCATTCTACCATGGCAAGAGAAACATTGTGTGCGTGAAGAACACCGCACAATTAATTAGATGAAAACGAGAACTTAATCATGCAAGAATAGACTGATTTTTAAAAAAGGAACAATTTGACGAATGGATCTCCGTGATAAACTTCGATAAGAATGTCGACTCAAATCTACAAAAGTGTCTAAACCGGAACAAATGGGTGAAAGAACACATTCACTCAACATACCTTTTAAATAGTAAAGACGAAAATCAACTCCATATTCAATGATAACGACCACGGGAGTGTCGGGGAGAACGGGAACGCGAACTTGAGCTGAAGAGGTTACAACTTTGCGACAGAAGGTGAAAAAATGTATTTCCTGACTTTGAGTTATAACTGAGTAAAAAAAACAGAGGTTATAGGTGAGTTTGCAGGGCTGTATTAAGACATGGTCAACATACTAAACCACACCTTAAAATCTAATACAACCAAAAGAATAAAATAACATTGATCAATAGGAAGACCTGGCCTGGAAACAAAGTAAGAAAATAAAAAAGACAGGAATAATGAAGCCGTTTTTCATATAATTTAGATGGAAAGATAATTAGGCTCGGAACACATGGGCCCAGCTGGCATAAAGTTAACATTCGATCATGAGGTTTTTTTTTNATGAGTTTAGGCAAAAGTTTTTACTAACACGTACCTATCTCGCCCATGTATACGTGTTTCTGAATCATAAGAGTCGTGTGAGAAAAAAAGTTACCCAGCATCCTCAAACCGGAGGATCGCTATTTTTTCATAGAAATTCAGTACGTTTTCAAATATAGTATATGATTTTCAGCGATTGATCCTCTGACTGAGTGTATCGCCTTAAGCATACGTTCTAGGTCATTCAAACGGTAAACATTAAGGAAACTCTATCATAGCAATTATAGACAAGAGCATGAGGTTTAGAGAACACCCTCTTTCTACATGGTATAGAATTAGTATGTCAAGCAACCAAGTAAAAATCAATTACTGATATGATACGCAAAGCCCCTAGTACTGAGAGACATGACGACTACAAGACACTGAATAAGTCACGATCAAATTTCCCCCTTTCCGCTGTATATATTAGGTTGGCAAGAAAGTCCTGCGATGAGTCGGAAGAAATTCTGATTTCATTTCTAAAATTCCCTTGATCAATCTAATTTGCAAATATATTCACAAAACATATCGACAGCTTCTCCTATCTTTTGGACGAATCATTGATGCCTTTGAAGCTGCGGCTCAAAGAAATCATTAGGGTAAGAGACAGGTTTATTTAGTCTTTACTCTGCGCTTAGCATCTCCGAGTGGATGGGTCCTTTCAACTCCATAAAATTAGGGGAAGATGCCTGCGCTTCCTCGAAGGCTAGTGAGTAGCGAATGTCTTGTGGTGAAGCGGTCTAACCGATTGTTGACCGTTGATCGGTGAGCAGTGCTGGCATCCAATAGGTTGCAGATAGTTCAAGCCGCTACACCCACGTTTTCCCCTTTGAATGCCAAGAAGAAGGTGGTGCTACCCTCGGGTGTTGCCTAATCATGGGCGATAATGCTGCGGAGGCTTGAGTGTGTACCCTTGTTCATTCATGATTTGAATGCCTGGAAAATGTCCAGAAAGTTAATCAACTTTGCTATCATGTTCATTTTGTTCGTGCAAACTTTTATTGCTTCGGATTTTTCGTCAAAAAACTTTCCTGGCAACCCTATAGATTTCAACAGAATACGGCAGAGTATTACCGCTAGACAAGCTGCTGAACTTTCCACAGATTCACTAATCTATTTCCAGAATAAAAAAAAGTGAGTCGAAATGAAGCCAAGAACGACAGCAAAATTAGCAACGTACCGACTCCTTGAACGGCTGCGACGTCGTCGCTTACGATCGCGATCACGAGAGCGGCTACGAGATCTATCGCGATGCTTGCTGCGACTACTTCCTCCTCCTCCAGAATACGCCTTAGACTCAATTCCATTCAGCGTATCCTAAAATGCTCAGAATTTGATAACTTCCCAGAATCGAAAAAGAGTGGAGCAGGAAAACGCAGCTGTTTTCGCATGGATTTCTATCAATACAATCAAAACAAACATTCACACTCTTTGATTCACAACTGGCATCTCACTCAGCATACCCTACCGAGCCTTGCCAAAAGAAGCCCACCTGAAGGCTGACAACTAGAACGCGACAGCGATCGTCTTGGGCTACACGGCTTTGTTTGATTAGAGAAATGGCTGTTAAGATGGTTTCCGTCGCGGACTTGACGTCCCCTCCCGCCGCATCGGCAACTGCTCGAGAAATCGCAGAGGATGCAACAGTCCTGGAATTCCACTCTTTTGCTCAGATTGTTTGTAGGTATCATTATAGATCACTGCAGTAATTTTATTAACCTGTTCCTGTTCATTATCTCTTCGAACTCGACGTCATTCATAGCCCCTGGCACTGGAGGCTGTTGTTGTACACCCGGAAACATCTGGAAAAAATAGAACTTAAAATCTAGCACACCGCAGGTCCACGAACGACCAACATTACAACTCTCTCGTAAGATATGACAATCTCCTAATCTCATCCGTGCTCTCAACAAAGTGCACGATGACTCAAGGCTGAACTGGGGGATCGGAAAACTTATGAACAAATAAGTAGATCGCGGCACGCACACGGCATAGGCACGAAGTACAGAATAGAATCAGCCATCCGCGAGGCTGACGCTAAAGAGTATTAAAGAGGCACTAGGTCGATAAAATGTTGCACCTCAATGTTCGATCATTTCGGATTCAGCCCCTTGTCCGAATAATACGTACTCCATCGGAAAATCTCTGCCTAACCTTCTTCCTATTTGTCTCTAACTTATGCCTCTCGAAACGAGTAAATGGACAGAACAAATACACAGATTAATTGTAAGAGAAAGTACAATAACAGAATGAGAGTTAGGTAAGCGTATGTATTATAGGGGTTAATGAATAGAGAGTAAGCTGAAATTGATTGTACACTTACTTGGGGATTTATATGAGCACCATGAGGAGCCATTAGTTGTTGGTGAGGTGCAGATGTGGGAGGCATTGTACGCATTCCGGGTGCACCTTGTTGAATCATCTGCTGTTGTCCCATTCCCATGACTGGCTGCTGACCACCTCCAAACTGGACACCGGGAGGCGGTCGACTAGAAAAAGCCCGAACATGATACAATCGGAAGGAAACTTATCTTCCGAACTTACTTCGGATGCACCTGCATCCCAGGTTGCATCATTGGCGGAGCGGTAGTCATGTGCATCGGCATGTTACCTCCCATCATTGGACGCGGTGGACCCGTTGTCATTTGGCCAGCAACTCCCATCTGAACAGGGCCACTGATTTGTACTCCACCAATAGGGGTGCCTACTCCAGGAGGACCCATTGGACGGCCCATCATAGGGCCCTAAATATGGACTATTAAGCATTCTTTAAAAAAGCAAAAATGTACGAAAAGAGCCGCACTCGCAACAAACCTGATTAACTGGTTGTCCCATCATAACTGGACCTCGATTCATAACATTTCCTGGCCCCATAGGACCTGCAGTATTAGCCCCCATCGGACCACCAGCAGGCATATTCATGGGTGGACCACCAGGACCTGGGCGCATCTGCATCATTGGTATCGGGGCTCCACCTACGGGTGCACCAGGTCCCATGCGTGGTCCCAGCATCGGTGGAGGTCCAGTAGGCGCAGCAGCTGCTGCTCCAATGCGTATCGTTCCCATATTCATACATGTGTCCTCCTTGAAAATATCAAAATCATCAACTCACATTATGTATTCTGTTATAAGAGCTTTGTCTTTCAAGACACTGATCAATATATCTAAAAAGGATGTTGGGATGGGAAAGGCATGAGGCAAACATAGATCAGGTCACAGAGCACATGTGAACTCGGCAAAGCTGAACCTATGGGGCCTGGGACATGCACCAAGAAGTATGCGGGGCAAGCAAGCCCAGACAAGCTCCACTCGATGGAAAGAATGTGCTCTTTGTTGGGAGGGTAGTCCAGAATTCGACTCTGTTTGGAAATATTGTGGAATAAGAAGAAAAAAGGTCGAGGTTATCAAAACAAAGGAAGGAACCTTACACTGGGCAAGACGTAGGACCATGCGAGCAAAGCTGAGAACGAAATCTCATATTTATGTTCAAAGACGTGCTAGAGACCGGACAAGGGGGCTAGGAATGGAAGGGAAGTTAAAGGTATCAGTAGGTTAGTGGAGGCCATTGCAGGATGAGGGAGGTTACAATTCACACTTCGTTCAAAACGTTCCCGCGTCAAAAAGGGCAAAGGAAGAGGGTCAAACTGTTTGAGATAGTTCAATGCGCGCTGTGGTGGGCGGAGCTAAAATCAAAAAAGTTCACAATTCAAAACGTTACGAAGTCCTGAAAAGGGAACATACAGAGCCAAGGAAGAGTAAGCGGTAGACAGCACACAGCGGAGCAATAGCTGAAAAATTGCAAACCGCTTCAGGACAAGCCTTGGAAATGATATATGGAATTACGGACAGAAAGAAATGTCGAGAGGCCCAATGTGGGCGCGATATGCAACCAAGTGGATGGAGCTATAAAAACAAAAATTTCTCATAACGTTGGAGACGACTTGGCTGTTGAAGCTGTTGAAACTGGGGTAGATAGAAACTAGCAGCAGACTAGAGGCCATGAGTTCACATAAGATGCCCGGAGTTATTCCTAAATTCATAGTGAGACACCAGATTGGCGACTGAGCAAATAGTGAGTGGCGTATTAACCGAGTAAAAAATGGCAGATGTAAGCAGGAACTGAGGGTAATAAATTACAAGTAACAATAAGGGTTTGAGCCAAGGTGGATGGAGTTTTCGCCTGAAAACAGATGATCCAGTGAAGGTTAATAGTGGTAAGAAACGATGTAATAGAGATCGGACACTGACTTTCCATGTCGATTGATATCCATCAAAATTATTAGCTTCCCATAGAGGGAAACTGGCGTGGAAGTTCAATAATTGTGTTCTATTCAATAATTCACGAAAAGAAACCTTCTTTGACTGCTTCGGATCAGGTCGGCTCTGCATTTTTGAGGTAGCTTCATCCAACCGGTTGAGAGACGCCTTGGTATAAGGAAGTATGACAGGCGACTGTCCGTGAATTTGACGTTGTGGCATTTGCTCAGTGACCATACGGACCGCTTAAAATTACAGTATAACAGTCATTCAAAGCTCTTCGGAATAGCTGCAAATCTTCTCAAGTAACGGTAAACGGGGTGAAGGAATAGTGAGAAACTAACAAGAATCGCTGCCAAAAACAAGCAGCGCGAATCCTTTGCTCTGTCCATTTGTTCTATTCTCAAAGAATTTCATGTCAATCAAGTCCGTAATCCCAAGTTGTTTGATGTGTAGCTACAACAACAAGTATAAAAACTATCATATCAGAACACACACTACGTGACAAATAGCGATAAAAGACCTAGAGGAAGTGTAATTCGAAAAACCCACCGCAACATCGGCATCCGTTGCCCACCACACCAGGTTACCGATGTAGCAACAGTAACTAGAAAAATGAAATTTAAAACAAAAAACCATTTATGAATTCTCAATTTCTAACAACCGCTTTCCGTCCGGTTGTGAGTGAGTAGATGACCCATTTTGTTGAGTACTGAGTGTGCGTGCCGGTGTGGGAACCGCTGGTTTCTCTACAGAAGATGGTGCGATAGCGTCGTCATATAGATCAACTTCTTCATTCTTGAGTTCTTCAGTTTTTACGGGATTCACTCCATTGTGATCATCACTGGGTGGAGGTGTTCTGTAAATAAATATTGTACTGGTTGTTTGCAAAAACATTTTGAAGAAGCTGCCCGAATCGATACTTCTGAAAGCCATCTATACCAAGTCTCTTCCTGAACCTAACTCATGGTGGACTTCTACAGGGTGCGCCAAAATTACTGGCTCAAAGTTGCAGAGTTCGACCTATTGATTCAATGCAGCGATCTCTCGATTAGCCGTGATCATGTTAAGCACTTCTTCCTTGATCATCAGCACAAGCTTTGATCCTCAGCTCTCACTCCTTCAAAAATGGTTAGACCTCATCCTCTCAGACCCGCTATCATTCAGTTACACCAGATGGGTCGCTGTTCCAAAACCATCGCAAAAGTTCTATCAGACAGCAGAAGAACTGTGGACTTCACCGTCAAACGATTCGAGAATCTCGATACTGCAGAAGATCACCCAGGAAGGGGGAGAAAAACAACCACAGTATTCACTAGAAATGTTAAAGTTGTACGGGATATTGAGCGATGCAATCTGAAGAGGTCCATGAGAAAGATTGCCAAAAAGCTGGGAATAAGTCATAATTCTGCCCGCCGTTTAGTTTGAAGAGAAGCTGGGATTGACATCTTATCGATGCCGAAAGGTGCACCTTCTCACTGCATCCATGAAGAAAAACCGAATCCAAAAATGCAAGATGCTCATCCAACGGTGCATGTCGGCGCGCCACCGAGACATTGTCTTTTCCGATGAGAAGCTGTTTACGTTGGAGTCGACCTTCAACCGTTAAATCGGTCGAGTGCTTTGCTCGACAGCTGAAGAGGCTTACAAGAGGTTAAGAATCCATGGACGCTCTGGATAAGCAGAAAAAAAATCATTGTTTGGTCGGCGATCACCTACGAAGCAAAGTCCCCGATGGTTTTCATCGACAACGATATTAAAATCAAGACGGTGATCGTGCTGAAAAACGTCTTGCTTCCATGGGCAAAATATCGCTTCCGCTTTAGACCGTTCGTGTTCCAGCAAGATTCAGCACCGGCTCATAGAGCGAGGGTGGTGTCGAAACACCCTCTCAGGATTCATCAACGCTCAGGAATGCTCCTCCAATAGCCTTGATCTGAATCCAATGAATTATTCCGTATGGTCGCTATTGGAGAGCAAGGCCTGCTCTAAGCAACACCACTCAATTGACTCATTGAAGAGGAACCTGCTCAGAGTGTGGGAAGAAATACCTTTGAAGTACCTCCGCGCCAAAGTGGACGCCTTCCCCGTACGTCTGAGGGCCGTGCCCGAGCATGTGGAGGGAGTTTCGAGATTTACATTGAGTATGTGTAATGGCTCAATATAAATAAAAAGTTGTAGAAAAGTTAGTCCTCAATCTATCGTTTAACCGATTTGACAGCGGTGGATATTTGAGCAAGTAATTTTGGCGCACCCTGTATAATAACACATTGAAGAGAAAGCACTACTTATTAGTGTCCACAGGTATTTTTTTCTGAAAAGGTTAGTCGTTAATATTAAATGGCATTGCATTTCTATTCATTATATTCGAACAATCTATTTTCCAGAAAGTTCTCGATTCATATCCACTTTGAAGAACTGCCGATCAAAAATTGTTCTCACCACCGCCTGGACCTCTTCCATAAACTCGTAATTCGACACTCACATGATTCTGCTAGCTGAGAAATAAGAGTTAAACGGATAAAGCTGATTTATGAGACTATGAAGAATTGGACATTCTATCCTATTCTACATCCCTCGATTTTTGCGCTGCCACGCTTGTTGTTTACGACGAAAGTTGTTTTGATACAAATGGATTTTATTATGGGCGTTTATTTAGATTATGCTTGAGTGTGTTCTTATAAAAAACCCCATGTTGCCTTGAAGAAAGTGTTACGAATGAGAGTGCTTACGCGAGCGTCTTTTTCAACTGCACAAGTTTTGGACAAAAACATCCGGTAATCAGGATGCAGCTTACTTCTGCGACAAGATAATGATCGAGGGTGATGATGTAAAGTGAAGGTTCACTCATTGGGAGACTATGCTTAAGTAGATCACTATGCACCAGAGCCACATGGCATTTTAAGCATTATTACTCATAGTTTGCTAAATCATTTGAATCGGAGGACGATGAATTCTCTGACTACATACAGACGGAGCAATAACTTGAATTATCACTCGAGTCTCTTCCTCTGGAACTGGCGCCACTAGAGAAGGTGCATTAACTACGAGGTGATAACGTTGAGCCTATATTCACAAAGCAGTCGGATCGGCACACTCCGAATATCTTCTGAATACCGCGATACTTATTCTTACCCTTTTTGAATTGTACTTGGCATTGGGGGACTATTGGTATTGGTAAAAGCTACTGGTAAAAAGAGTAAAAGAGGGAGAATGAAAACTGATTTTTTGATGTTTCAAAACAAACTCAAGTAATAATATCGATGATCCGTAGCAAGGGTGCGAAAACTCACTGGTCCAGTAGAGCGTGCTCATCAAGGTGATCACCGTCGGTCGCCGCTGGACCTTCCCCCAACAAATCTAATTCTGCTTGAGTGTCGATTTCAGTCATTTGACAACCTGAAAAGAAAAGTGTATGCCTCTATTCAGATGCCGTGACTGTGATCAGCACCATACCCTACCCTGATAGGTGATGCATGCTTTGGGGAAAGCGATCATTATTTAACTGCAATCGCAACAGCTGACCACAGCTAGAGATTTTTATGAGTGCAAATTATCAGTGCAACACCGAAGGAGATACACAAACATCATAGAGTATAAATACATCACCACTGATTTTTGAAATCCCTCTTGCGCATAGAGCAATAACCGTGCCAATCTGATTACGATGGTAGTGGTACCGTAAACCCACTATGAATTGGGAAGGGAATGCTAAGAGTAGGTCCAAAGAATAGGTTTGTGGGATGTTAGCGATAGCGCTACTGCAGAATGGGCCTTAGCATAGATGTCTGCCTCGCCACGTTAATTTCGACTAATCGATCGCTATTAAAATCGATTCGTGGCGTGATTGAACGAGTAATCACCACCAGGCTTTATTTTACAGAAGAAGAACTACATAATTTGATAAGAGATACATGTGACGGTGTTATAATTCAGAACTGGATTGATGTTGGCTACTGACAATACAGATTTCAACTCCATGGCGAGCTGAAACTAATAAATAAACGAATAAATCAGTAGTAACTGGCGTCCTTCTAAAGTTTATTTCGCCGATTTGGCTGTGCGAGCTATGGGTTGGAAGCATAAGCACATATCCCCTTTATAGCGTATAAGGGGATATTGGGAAAGTTATTCGCTCATCTAGTTGGAGACCGCGCTCGTCGGTCTTCAACTAGATGAGCGAATAACTCCACGGATTTTTGGCGGTTACTGTGAAAGACTATGCATTCGTAATCACATCAACTAACACGACGGCGACATGAATCATTAAAAAAAACTTGAGTGTGAGTAGTATGCACTGCCCATCCATGCGCTTGATCAAAAAGAAACCAATTTCTATTTGCTATTTTTGTCTATAGCCCTTTTTTAGAGACAGCGTATTAATATTAAGCCTTGAAGGGTATATTCCACTATTCGGAGAGCTAATAGAAAAAAGCTTTTGACCCAAGCCTAGCACTTGAAATCTTCGATGCCAGCACAGTGCCATCTAGTTCAAAAAAAACCTCTGAAGGAAAAAAGTAGAAAGATCAAAATTAAACAAACACAGGGCTGAAAACGAGCTGTTTCCCTAACCTCGAAATTCAGGCGTGAAGATTTAGGCTGTGCAGTATGGCTTTTTACTTTTTTTGTAGAAATAAGCTTGTGTTGAATCACTTATTAAATGTGCAATGTGATTTTCTAGAGAACCTTAAAACTGCTCGTTTCAACACGCCACGAAGGCTACATCCAAATAATTTAGTACAAAGTAACTGCCGAGCCGAACGATACTTAGATTGGTTCATGAAAATGTCAACAGCAAGTTGTTTCCAAGTCCCTTCAAAAAAAAGAGTAGGAAGATCGCTTTTCAGCTTAAGGTGCATAACGTAAGAATTACAATAGTTCCACATCTGATTCGAATATTCAATCAATCAATTATCAATTCCTCTTTAAACCTTGGCATAACCGCTCTTTTAGAAGAAGTTCGAGCAAAACGAAGTCTGAACTTCCTACAAGTTCTAAGTCTATATATCTATCGAGCTCCCATTTTCGAAAACCTGAACGCAAACGTATCCACCGATCACACCAAATACTTTACATTCATTTTTATTGCATGAGTAACAACGAACAGGAAGCTCATGAGTCATATGATGTTAAGTTGTGCAACTTATTATGGTCGTCAAACGAAAAAGTAGATCACCATGCCAAGATTTAGACTTTCAAACGCCTAAAGGGCTCCTAAATCAGCTTTAAAGACGACGCGCTTCGTCCTTACTCGTAGTCAGACCGAGACGTGAATGTATACGACAATTCCAAACAAAAAAAAAACAAACGAAAAACAACACTGCAACGGAACCCCGCGAAAAATTCGTCGAGAAGTGCCCGCGTCGATTGAGGCGCATTTACACGCTGCGTCTCTGCCGAGTACCTTGAGGCAGAGAAACCATGGCGAGCCAGACATAATGAGTTGTGGGGAGGTTGCTGACAAAACGCACGCAAGCGTGTTGAATGCGGTCGGCGTTTTTTGGTGTGTTTCGGAGGGTAAGGGCGACGAGGGTGGTTCATAAAGTAGTTTGTTCATGGGCACGAAATGGCCTTGAACATAAACGTACTTTAACCTCTCGTAGCTCATGATCTCCGTACCACTTACTAGTTGGTAATTCATTGAAAAAGGTTGTTTGTGTTGATTACTGTAACCCTTGCGTGGCTGGGCAAATGTTTTCTCCTGGACTTCCGTCATGTTCTTCCTCTTAGGGTTGGAAGTTACTCACATTCGTCTTGTGACTAATAATAACCCAGCAAGGCTACGCACGCTAACACGCTATGCGTGCATTATATGTCAACGACCGCTTATCGATGGAGTCATTCAGCGGAATGTTGGATTATCAAAATAAGACAGAATTCTTATGGTTGGTCATAACTCCGTCAGACCACACCCCTGTGCAGACCCTTGCAAGTATAAAAAGTCAACCACCCTTCTTTTAACTGTTCCTAATAATTTTCTGCACGTTCTAGAAAGTTTTCGAAAAAATGAACTTTTGGTCCTANGACTAATAATAACCCAGCAAGGCTACGCACGCTAACACGCTATGCGTGCATTATATGTCAACGACCGCTTATCGATGGAGTCATTCAGCGGGATGTTGGATTATCAGAATAAGACAGAATTCTTGTGGTTGGTCATAACTCCGCCAGACCTTACCCCTGTGCAGACCCTTGCAAGTATAAGAACTCAACCACCCTTCTTTTAATTGTTCCTAATAATTTTCTGCACGTTCTAGAAAGTTTTCGAAAAAATGAACTTTTGGTCCTAGCCCCGCTTCCCTGTACCAGCTCCGCCCACTTCGAGAATTTAACCCAATTTGTTCCATTACCTCTAACCACTTTTTACCGCATTCCGCATTCTAGAACTTCCCGGAGCCACATTCATTTTTGAAAAGTGGCCTCCATCTCAGCGCACGCCCCGCCCAACGTGGGCGGGGCTATGCTGAGCTTACGCATGCCCGGCACTCATAATACCTTGGTCACTCTATTTTTTCCTGGCCTCGACGCATTTATTGAATCGAGTTATGAGTCTCTGAGGAAAGTACCGCCCACTGCGGTAACGCTCCACCCACCGCCGGTGAATTTCCTTTATTTTAATTGTTGACCCATCCCTCACATTTGCACACTTTTCCCGGCATCTGTACTGTTATGAGACCGAATGAGACGAATTTGCTCATGGCCCCGCCTAACTCCGGCGCATGCCCCGCCAGGCTCACATGTGCTCTGTTGCTGTTACCCTATGCTCAAACCATTCCAAACTTGACCCAGAGTCTTCAGGTACTTCTCCAAGTTATAACAGATTTCTGCACCAACAAACAAAAAGACGCGAGTGCTCTATGCATATATAGTAAGAATGGGAAGGATTATTATGCAGCATGTTTGTAGAAACTCTATCAGCTTTTAAGCACGTAACAAAAGACGCACTGCGGTGGCAAACGGGCCGCCAGTGGGGTCGCCCGGCTGACGCTGGGCTTTACTCTTTCTTTGGAACAAATGACACTCTTGGGAACACGAAATTCGATAGAGGAGCAAAAGGGCATGCAAATGATATCAAAATGTGCCGACCTATGCCTCTGACTAGTCTTGATCTGTCGCTGATTATCTCAAATATAAAGACCCATTGAAGGTTCAGCTGGTAGGCATCCA